GACAGTAGTTACTCCTAGAGCCTGGCACAGGAAGAAAGCAATCAGGAGTATAGAGGACAATTAGTTCTGAAAACCTTCAGACAGACAACGGAGCCCTCTGCAGCAATTTTAGTTAGTTTAATATATAAAGAAGCTGTTATCCGAGGTTCTCCACTGTTCAGAATGGGAACATAGGTGCCAACTCTCCGGGGCCCTGGGTGCCTTTTGCTGTGGGTGCCTGTGGGTACTTGGCCTCCACAGCTCCCACCGCTGCTGCCTGCTGCCTCCCTGGCCACCTTTGTGCAATGTCCCCGTCCCCCCACCTCTGCATGTCACCCATAGCCTGCAGCAGAGCCAGAGGCCATCAGAGTGAGTGTAGGGCCCAATGCAGCTCAACGCAGCTGCAGCAGGGAGGAGCCCTGGAGCGCCCTCTGAAAGGGCTGGCAGGGCCTGCTGTGACGGCCTCCGTGGGGCCACTCTCCACCTTACATCTGGCACTTGGGCCCGGTCCAGTCAGAGGCGGCAGCCGTGGCAGTGGAAGCAGAGGGCAGAGGCCGTGGCGCCGGAACACGCATGTCACGCCGTGATGACAGCACATTGAGACATCATTATGGCATGGCACATGCTGACATTGGGCACCCACAGTTTGGGGCCGACGTCTGTGCCCTGAATTGGGAGGGAAGGGGTTTGTCCTGAAATGCAGGCACGTTTAAAGGTGTGTTCAGTATAGAAGAGCCCAAGCCAGCGCAAACTGGACCTCAGCACGAAAACAAAAGCACAGCTGTCTGTGGGGATATTGTTTGGATGGGTGGGCAGGCTAGTTTCTCACAAAAGTGGGGAGCAGGCTAGTTTCTCACAAAAAATGAGACGAAGGTTGTGTGTACATTTTGCCCGATAAGCCAGGTTGTACGAATACTAAAAATTCAATCTTTCTTTTTTAAAAATGAAGGTGAGCAGTAGGGATTTCCTATTTATCTGCAGGGAGAGGCAGTTGCCCACCTCCTTTCTCCCTCTGCAGATTCTCATGCTCCTGCTGGTTCTTAATTATGAAGACATTGGGGCCGAAACTACAAGCAGCCTAACTGGTCCCAGTGTACGAATGAATGATGAGCACGAAGAGTTCATTTGTTTCTTCAGTTTAAAATTCATTTTTAGCTCAGATGAAGGCCCTTCTGCTTTCTGCTTAATCTGAAAATCCAAGGGGATGAAGGGGAGAAAAGATCTCATTTGTTACTGCCATGATATGTCGTGTTCGGCATGAATTTTGCAGAGGACCCTGTAACCCTATCAGAACACTGTGTAGCTGCTTAGCCGAGAGTGCTAATTTCTCACAAGTAGCTGTTTCTCAGGACCAAAGCAGACCACACACAGTCCTTACGTGTGGGTGTGTATTCAAATTCCCTGTGAAGCAAATAAAAAGCCAGGATGAAACAACTAGCAAAATAACAGTGACAAACATCATTATCTCGCCAGGTGCCTCAAAGAACTCCCAGAATGAAACGGTTTATGTAGGCTTTTAAAAGTCAGGAGGGATTGGGCCTCTTTGGTTGTCTACTTTTGACATATTTCTTATATCATATACTGTGCTGGGGTGGAACTCAAAGTGGGTGTAGAGACACACCCCAATAATTTTGGCAGGCATAGGAGAGATGCTACAAAATTGTATATTTGCCTAAAGTACTTTTCTGAGTTTTCTGGAACTAGCCTGAAAGCAAAAATGGGCTATAGGTTTTGTTGTGCTAGACAATCCTATTGACCTGTCAGGCCTCCATAGACAGAGAAGAGCTCCACTACCAAACAAGTCATGTTCCTAGCAACTATCAGCCTATTTTCAGACATGGCAGGTACTTGGAACATGAAAATTCCTGAAGATCTCAGATTCTGAGGAGTGCAGAAATTCATAGGGGGCCTTAGGGTTCTTACTTATAGCAGTGATCCCAGAGCCCCGTGTTCTTCAAGACCAGCAGAGTTAAGTTGTTGCTTGAGTAGCAGACAGACCTGACACTCCAGCAAGAGAACCTAACGATGTGTAGAAATAAGACACAATTTTAACACAACAGACACAGCTGTCTACGAAGTCTGCCAGGGAGCCAGATGCCAGAGCTGCAAGGCAATTTTGCCCAGCCCTAGGGTGCCAGATTATTTCTCATGGGAGGAAAAGGGGCTGATAAAACGCTCTTGTGAAAAGGGAAATCTACTAAATGCAGGTCCTTAATTAACAGTGTAACAAGCTAAGCTCCATTTAGGCAACCTGCGGCATATCAACCAGAATGTAAAACAATTAATTATTAGCAGCCAGCTCAGCTACATGTATTTATCCACAGCGCTGCTAATTAAATAGCCAAAGTTCCTTTTGCAGCTCATTTAAATGTAATTATTGGTCATGACATCTCACATCAATTCAGGCAAAAATGGCCCAGAAATGAAACCACTGTCCTAATGTGCTTGATATTAGCACCAGAATGGTTGAAAATCTCTGGCTGCTGAGGACCAGATCCATGTAATGCCTATTTAGTACTCTCATAAACATGTTGGCTGACAAGCAATAAAGTTCCCATTTTCATTACTGTTATACCTGGGACCACTCTTAAAGGTGACCCAGAAGCTTCAGTTGCTGCAGAATGCAACAGCCAAAATTTTGATTGGTACAGCCAGCTGTTTTAATATTACATCAATTTTAAAAGTTATTTAAGAGTTATTGTTGTTATTATTATTATTATCATCAATGACATTTGTATACCACCCTTCGCCCATTGCTGTCAGGGCGGTTCACATAAAAATACAAGATAAAAGCACAAAATACATAATAAAAACAAGAACAAAAAGAAACAAACCAATGACCCCCCCCCCCGCTCCTACTCCCACACCACCACAAACACATTTAAAAGGACACAGGATGCCAAAGGTCAGCCAAAGGTCTGGCTTTGCTTCTGGACCTTATTTGAGGGGCTGGCATTTACCTTTGAGACCCTAGATGTGTTGGGTCCTGAAAACCTGAGGGAACACCTCTTCTTCTATCAACCCACCTGCACCTTAATTATTATGTGTTAAATTTATATCCTGCGCCTTCCCCCAAAGTAGTCGCTGGCAGCAAAGATGCCAAAACGAAAGCAATACAGTTAAAACTAGTGACCACCTGCTCTCAAAATAATAATTTCATACCCGTCAACTGTCCCAATTTGAGCGGGACATCCCACAATTACATAAGCCATCCCGACTTCTGATTGGATCTCGGGATGTATCGTTTTGGCTCCCCCAAGAGCACACCCCCAAATGCATGTTTTAGGGGGCTTTGCTCTCATATGAGTTATGTCACTCACACTGGAGTATGGCCCCCATAAATGTGCGTGCTGATTTCCCTGTGTGGCATGTTGGAGGGTATGTAATTTCAGAGTCATAATCAGAAGTTCTGCACTTGTGGCTCCTGCCTTGGCATACCTTGTGGGTGTCCCTGCACCTTCGGGCGCTGGGTTGGAGACCCGTGGGGTCTCTTATGCACCCTCTGCCACCTCTGGCATTCAGCCACCCGGTGGCTCTTAGCTGCAGGATACTCTCAAAGGCCTTTCTCCAGCCAATCATGTCAAATTTGGGTAGAATTCTTCCCTCTCATCAGGCCGCAACTATGGTCCAAGGGGATAAAGTCAGGATGTACTCAGACGACCAGTTAGAATTTGCCAGTTTTCAGTCTGCTGCGTCTGTCTATAACAAAAGCTCTTTTAGTAAAATTGCAATTAAATGGACAGTCACCTGCAGCTGTCCCACTGATGACGTGCCTCTCCACAGGTCTCAGCAGAAAGAGCAGCATTTTACATACACAAATCCCTTTACATTGAACAGTGTGGATTCCCCTGCACACTCCTTTGAAACAAAGATTTACCTGAGAAATAAAACAAAAATATACCTCTCCACAGTGCCTCAGAGATGCACTATTTAACAACAAAGGAAAGAGCTTTTTCAGCAGAGGGATAGTGGCTGTGGGGTGCCTACATCACACTCCTTTGGGGAACTGACAAAAATGTTCTTACTAATCCAGCATTTCAATTCATTGTGAAATCAAATTGGAAAAGGATTTCCTTCCCTGTGGTTTCATTGTATTTGTGCTGTGATACAACTGATTGCATACCTCTCAAACAGGGTGAGGGGGGTATATAAATGTTTTAAATAAATGTGTAAGTAGTGTTCACAGGTGAAAATCTACTTCTAGAGTATTATTATTTTATTATTAATTTGATTTATATTGTGTCTGCCAGGTATTATGTATACCAGGTATGATTCTGGCCTTCAGCAGCGAAAGATGGCAACTAATGTGGGGCTGCTGTACTCTGCAGTATCAACGTTCTTCTCCCTCATTGGTCAACCAGAAACCTATGAAAGAACACAGCCAGAATTCTGCTATTCCCAGTAAATGGTCTTCAGAGATATTTTCATTTTCATTTGGGTAGTAGTAAAGCCATTGATATCCTCCATGAAATGGTTTGAGCCAAAAACTCAATCCAGACCCTGTAAGTGTCCCTATATTCCAGGGACGTCCCTGATTTAGAGAATCCGTCCTGGTTTCCGATTTGATCCTGGAATGTCCCGCTTTTCCTTAGGAAATCGCTATTTTCATTGGAGAAATGTTGGGGGTACGGAGTTATCCAACCCCTTAGCTATCTGAAGTCAATCCAGTATAGGGAAGGATTTTTTAAAAATGTTTAATGTTTTATGTATGTTGGAAGATGCCCAGAGTGGCTGGGGAACCCAGTCAGATGTGTGGGGTATAAACAGTAAAATTATCATTATGGAGAGGGACGTCCCTATTTTCATTGGAGAAATGTTAGAGGGGATGTCAATCCTGTGTGCTCTGGCATTTTGAAGGCAAAATGACTAGGTCTAGGGAGGTTTGATTTCTAGAAAAAGAGATGTCCAATCCCAAATCTGTCTGGCAACAGCCTCTGATCTAGAAGTCCTTTTACAAATTCCTGATGTCTAGGGACTCTCAGAAGCTAAGCAATTATGAGGAAAATTACTCTGTACTGACCAGCCTTATAGCTCAGTCATTCGAGCATGAGACTTTTAATCTCAGGGTTGTGGGTTAGAGCCCACATTGGGCAAAAGATTCCTGCATTGCAGTGGGCTGGACTAGATGACCCTTGTGGTCTCTTCCAACTCTACAATTCTCTGACTCTATGACTCAGGTATATGTTCATTGTTTCTTATTTTGGATTAAGGCTGGGTCCTGACGCTGAGCCCTGGTATAAATTAAATGCTGTAAGGGCATAGTAGCAGACGTGGAATTAGGGGAGCACCACAACAATGACAAACAACGGAAGGCAAAAGGAGGGGGGCACCGAATGTTGGCATCACACAGTGTGCCACTGAAACTTCGAAACCCACAGCCTACCACTAATAGTAGCTCTGGAAGAGGCTGACTCCTTTGCAAACATTCACATAGGCCACGCTTCCTCAACCTCGGCCCTCCAGATGTTTTTGGCCTACAACTCCCATGATCCCTAGCTAGCAGGACCAGTGGTCAGGGATGATGGGAATTGTAGTTTCAAAACATGTGGAGGGCTGAGGTTGAGGAAGCCTGATATAGGCCTTTCATACATATTGAAGCTGTGTATGTGAATGCACAGCTGTGTTTGGCAATATCTACTAGAAATGGTTATCTGGCAAGTCCCCTTGTGCTGGGTTCCTGTAATTTTGATTCTTGTTTTATTAACTTAGGTCTTCTCCACCATGTCTACATGTGTTTCTAACACATTCTATGTCCGCTTCTCACATCTGATGAACTGGCAGCTGATTATTAATGTTTGAGCCACAAAATATCCAAGTGTTTTGTTACATTCGAAGTTCATTTTAGTCACATAAAGTGATTAAATCCACTCAAATGAATGAAGTATGCCATGATATTCACATTATAACAGAAATATCTAAGTGTTCTGGATATTCAAAAATGCCTGTCCATAGACCATTAGTTCAGAAATGTACTCTTGGGTATTATTCTCCCTGGGAAGTGTTTGAATTTGTCCAATGACAAAAGTAGTCATCCATCTTTATGACATGAATAAGCAACTTCAGAATTTGTTATCAGAGTTCCAGAACAATGTTCCAGATGTCCTTATTTCTTGACCCGTATACTGATATTTAATTTACTACTGCATTCAGCAAAATTTTAATGACATTCAAGGATAGAGATTAATGTGCTCCCCCCTTGATGCATAACCATCTAAACATTGTGCACATGCTCACTAATATTCAATTTTTCTGCAGCAGTACCATATGAGTTCCATTTGTTTGACTATGGAAAGCCTATTTAAAAAGAAATTGCCATATTCTGCTTTAAAATAGCATCTATTGGTACATTTGGTTTGTTTGTTTTTCCATGGTAGAAGCATAACCAATCGGACCAGAAAACTACAAGGATTTACCATCATCCAGAAACTTTCACCAGAGTCAAGTTGCCATACGTCTGGGATATAGCCAGCAATTGGCCATTGGAAACTGGAGGCCAGTCTCCCTTCAGGACTTGGCAAAGAACTCTTAACTTCTGGCTCCATCTAAACTCACCCCCCCCCCAGTTTAATATCCCTAGTACTTCAAGACTCCCATAAAAGTGCCTGGCTTAAAACTGTCTATCAAAAACTCCACTCTTGTGACCTATCCCCAGAACACCTACTCACTATGGGCCCTACTAAAGCAAACAGTCTAATTGGTCGACGTCTAAAAGATATCGAGCATCAGAACAACCTGGCCACTATAAGGAAATTCTTCCAAAAGATCCTGCCTGAGAAATGTCTTTGCCCCTGTGGTGATGGTAGCACCGAAACAGCAGCACACGTCCTCCTGTCTTGCACTCTCTGCAAACACCTGAGGAACGAGATCATCACCCCACTCGTACTAAGCATCCCAGGGCGCTCAACCGCTGCCACAATGTCCTTTCTTCTATCAGATCAAAATGAGCAGATAACAGCAAAGGGGCAATCAGAATAAGGGCCACTAACTGACGGCTGATTCAGGACTTTAAATTGTGCTCTTATATCCAATTTCCTTTTCTGCGTATACTGTAATGTTTTACTGTTGCTGTAGCCATTGGCTAATGCGAATAAAGTTTTATCTATCAACCCTGTGAGGTAGGGTGGCCTAAGAGGCCGTTACTGGCCCAAGGTCACCCAGTGAGCTTCATGGCCAAGTGGCAATTTGAACCCTGGTCTACTGGATCTTAGTCCAGCATTTTAACCACCACCCCCTGCTGGCTCTCTTTTCCTCAAGCTTTTATTTATATGGCAATAAAGCACATGGGCTCGATCCTGGCAGCCAGGCCTGGACCTGGGCATCATAACAGTGTAAAGCACCACAGAGGGAGGTTTCAAGAAAATGTTTTTGTCTGCCTCTGGAATGTCCTGATAAAGCTATGATGCTCCTACTGCTTTAGGAGTAATCACTTCATCTTGTCCTCCTTGCCCACAATTAGTGGCTGTATTTGCCAGCTCAGCTTTTACTGCCCCTTTAAATCACTTTCTTGGAGATTCTGCAAGCTATTGAATGAAGATGGGGACATTTATTCAGCCATGCCTGTCATGTAGCTGTTTAATAATCTGCTATCTTTATACCAAAGTGATAACAGTTCTGTTTTCCCTTCCACTATGAACGAGTGTATGTGTTCCTTTCTACATATTATGCTAAACAGATCATTGATAGCTGGATTCAATAACTGTAAGTATTTGTTCATGTTTTCTTATAATAGTTCAGTGAATGAATGTGGCTTATTAGGAGGGGATGTTTCTAGGCAGCGCTGAGGAAAGTTCAATTCAGTAATGGATAGAAATAAGCGAGTAACATCCCACACACAACATTATAATGGAATTTTACCCTGGTGTGTTTCTAAATTATTTCAGCAAAGATCTCAGATGACTCAACCAGTCCCGGCATGTCTGATCTTACCAACTCCAATGTTTTATATGCATACAGATGTCTATGTTGTTGTTGTTTAGGCGTTTAGTTATGTCCGACTCTTCATGACCCCATGGACCAGAGCACACCAGGCACACCTGTCTTCCGCTGCCTCCCGCAGTTTAGCCCTTTTCAGAAACAGGAGCCTTTGCTGTATGTGTGTGTGTGTGTTGTTGTTGTTGTTGCTGTTTAGTCGTTTAGTCGTGTCCGACTCTTCGTGACCCCATGGACCAGAGCACGCCAGGCACTCCTGTCTTCCGCTGCCTCCCGCAGTTTAGTCAAACTCATGCTGGTAGCTTCGAGAACACTGTCCAACCATCCCGTCCCCTGTTGTCCCCTTCTCCTTGTGCCCTCCATCTTTCCCAACATCAGGGTCTTTTCCAGGGAGTCTTCTCTTCTCATGAGGTGGCCAAAGTATTGGAGTCTCAGCTTCAGGATCTGTCCTTCCAGTGAGCACTCAGGGCTGATTTCCTTCAGAATGGATAGGTTTGATCTTCTTGCCGTCCATGGGACTCTCAAGAGTCTCCTCCAGCACCATAATTCAAAAGCCTCAATTCTTCGACGATCAGCCTTCTTTATGGTCCAGCTCTCACTTCCATACATCCCTACTGGGAAAACCAGAGCTTTAACTATACGGACCTTTGTTGGCAAGGTGATGTCTCTGCTTTGGAGCAGGAACCGGCAAGCCACTCCAGGATCCCTGCCAAGAAAACTCCATGGACAAAGACAACAGATGTCTATAGTATTACTATTTATATTTGAAAATTGCCACAAGAAACCCCAAATATCTGCTAGACTGCCTTCTTCCCCATCACTCTGCCCATCCACTGAGATCATCATCACCTTAGGGCCAAACGAGCGTTAGTCACTTCTTAAGTCCTCTCTTAAGCATGGCAGAAGGCAGGTCAGGTAGAGGCCTGATCCAGGTTGAGAGCCCAGTACAAAGTTTTCAACCCTTCTCCCTCCAACACACAGCAGGCTCAAAACAGATTGCCTTGCATGACATGGAGAAAGGTTTCTCTTCCTCTCTCATAACACTAGCACTCACGTACATGCAACAAAGCTGAATGCTGGACGATTCAGGACAGATAAAACAAATTACTTTTCCATGCAGTTCATAATTAAACTATGGCACTCACACCCACAGGAGGCAGTGATGATTGCCAGCTTGGATGGTTTTGAAAGAGGAGTAGACAGGTTCATGGAGGAGAGGGCTCTCAATGGCTCCTAGCCACAATGGCGCTGCTTTGCTTCCACGGTCAGAGACAGCGATGCTTCTGAATACCAGTTACTGGAGATCGCAGGAGCACAGATCCTGCTTGTGAGTTTCCAACAGGCATCTGACTGGCCACTGTGAGAACAGGCTGTTGGACTAGATGGACCATTGGCCTGATCCAGCAGGCTCTTCCTATATTCTTATGATTAACCTAGGTGCATTAATTTCAATCAGTCTGCTCTGAGTAGGTCTTAGTTGGATACATCCCTTTATAGGCTCAGATTTATAAATGATGAAATGGAAAATACCGAAAATTGCCAGTTACTAGTAAAACATGCTCAAGTATGCTGTATAATATTTAATGACATGCTCTTTCTTAGGCTGATAGTGAATTTTATTACACAAATTCACTTGCTAAGAGCGAATTGGGGCTGTGAGTTATCTAGCTCTTGTTACTAGAGAAGGTAACAACTTTCCTGGCTTCCTTCTCATCAATTGTTTCACAAGCATTGTCAGTGGCTCCCATAATTTAAGGAGCAAATATGCTTACCAGCTGAGATTCATGTGGCAATAAATTTCCCATGCATTCCTTCTGATTCACACTCAGCCAGGCAGGAAGTGATGAAAGTTAAGTAAGAGAGAAAGAGTTATCTTTCTTAGGAAATGTTAAGTGGATTTCATTGAACTCTACTGGAAATGTATGTCTAAAAATATATCTAGCAGTAAATGAGTCATTGTCTCTCATGAGAATCAAACTGAGGGCCCTCTGGGGTCTCTAGCCCCAAAAGTATATTCAAAATATCATCGGAAAGCCAGTGTGGAATATTAGCCAATCTTTGTCCTAGAAGACCTGGTCTCAATCCCAACTTTCTTCTGTACTTTGAAAAAGTGCATTGCTTCTTGATCTCAGTTTCCCACCTGCAAAATGGAGTGCACACTGAAC